CGTTAACCCAGTGAAGTAATTCCTAGGCACTTCGGATACCTGTAGGACGTAAGATTCCCTAAGGTTGTAAAGTCTGACGATAAGGAAGTTACTTACCGCAGTAAAAGAACTTAGACAAGTTACGTGAAGTAACCAGAGAAGATTATTCCCGGTGACAACAGGTAGCAACTACGCTTTCCTATCTGGATGGTTAAGTTTCTTTTTCTCTTGATTGGATTATTAGTCTAGAACGATGCAGGGTTGACTTTGATTTGTTTTAACTAGTTTAGAATATTTAGAAGTTTTTGTATTTTCTTTTCTTGTTTTGTATTTTATTTATATTTTACTTACATTTAAATAAAGATCATGCGAAGCTACCGCACTTAAAAAAAAAAGAATTTATATTATTTATACTAATGAGAGTGAAGTTTATAAAGCTGATTCAAATATGTCAAAGGGTCTTGAATCAAAGTTATTACTGATAAAAGATACTAAAATTATGCTTAAAGTAAATTTATGAATAGAAATAGGATTAGTCAATAGCTTAGTAGAAATGATTTGAGACATTATCTTTGAAGGAGACCAGAATACTCCTTTATTTTCTAATATAGTACTGATAAAATTTAATAATTATACTGATCCTATTATTATAATTGCAAAAGATATTAAAGTTGTTCTAATTATTCTCATTAGATATATTTGGATGAAAAAAAATTAAACTTGTTTGTATTTATAAGTTTATATTTATCTTGTTTAGGCAATCATAGTTCATAAAATCAGGATTTGACTTTGTAAAAGGCTGTAATAGATTTAAGAGAAAGAGAATATGAAACAGACCTTTCGTTCATAACTATATCCTAGGTTTATATTTTCAAAATACTCTTCTTATACTATTTTCATTTAAATGACAGGAGAGATTGGTAAAAGAGAAAATATTAATTTTTATGATTTCTCAAATGCTGTTAAATTGATAATTTTTTTTGTTGATAGAAAAAGATTTAATAAAAATTAATTTGTACCATAATTTTTTTTATTGTTACTTATTTGTTATAATTTTGTATACTACTTTATTGTTATATTTTTTATTATGCCAATTTTTTTACTATCATGTATCACTAATGATCTTATATATTTTGGATGTCTTAACAGTTTCTATTACCTAGTTTTAATATATTAAAATTATAAAATATATATTTATTAATAAGATAAATAAAAAATGATAATTTATTATATTATTAATTATTTTTTAATATTTAAATTTAATATAAATAAGAGGATTTATATTAATTATATGATTTAAGGATCTGATCAATATCATATTAAATGTATATTACTAGATTTTATTCTAGTAGTTTTTAAATTATCTTATTATACTATTGTAATTTATGCAAATTTATTAATGAATTTTAAAAATATCAATTAATAATTACATATTATATAATATAGATTAATTTACAGTTTTAAGTTTTTTTTAGTAAATTAGAAACTATTTATGATTAATTATTTACTTAAATGGATAGATATTCTATTAAAATTGTTTATAATTTATATAAATAAAGATATATATATGATGATGAGAATTTTTTAATTAAAAATAATAAATTAAAAATTTATTTCTTAGATTACAATCCAAATCTCTGATAAAAATGATCCTCATTAAATAAATTTTGTATTCCGTTATTACCTATATTATATAGATAATGGTTATATCGTACAATTACACAGTTTTTTTAAACGGAATTTTAACTGCGAAACGATAAAATATTAAAAAAATTTTTTTTTGTTGAAATAACGGGCTCTTTTTTTTTTTTTATAAAAAAAAAAAATTTATTTAATGCATTAATTAGAAAAGTTTAATTATAAAACAAAAAATCATCGCTTATAAGTTAACGAAAATATATAATAATAATAATGGAAGGAAATTCTAATAATTATAATAACGGTGAAAACGGTGGTAAAGAGAATAAAGAGAATACAGAATATAATCCACAACAGGGATACAACTATTCTCATCAACAAGAAATAAGTGATAATAATTATCAAGTTTTTGAAGCAGCAGCAGGAGGTCAACATGAGACTCAAAATGAATACTATCAACAGCAACAGCAAAGACCTCCTTATTCACAATATCAACAAGGAGGAAATTCTCATTCGCAGCAGCAATTAACATACCAACAAGTGAATTCACATCAAAATCAAGCATCTATTCCACATGGTTACCAAGGAAGTCCTCATCAGAACAATATATCAGATCCTCAATATAATCATGACCAACGTAGTCCTCATCAATATGCGTCGTCATCTCCTCAGCAACAGCAACAGATGAACTCGTCCCGGACAGCTTCGGTTCCTCAAACACAAGAACATACGACTTATTCACCGGAACCTAACGTTTATTCAATTGGTCCGTTAAATGGTAATGTTAATAATCCAGATGGTGGTATGAATAATAGTCAAATCATTGGTCAAAGAGAAGATCAAAGTGGTCCGATTAATAGTAGTCAAGGAGTGCCAATAATTGTTGATCAAGATGTCAAAGGAGTTCAAGGTAGCGATGGTAATTTGCAACAGCAAGGAGGAAATAACGAATTTACGAGACAAATATATTATTCATCGGAACCCACAACAGCATATATTACAAAAGCAGCAATTAAATCAGATGGAATGGAATATGAACAATACCCACAAGATGCATATACAGCAGAAAAATTGGAAACATCGGATGGAGGCGTCGGAGATACTTATAATAGATATGATTCATATAACAATGACATGCCACTTACATCAAAAAATGAAAAAAATAATAAAGGTGATACACCGATAGCTCAATATAATAATAACAATTATGCATTTGCATCATCGTCACAATTTATCGTTGAACCAATAAACGTAAATAAGAATTCATTTCCACCTTCTATTATTTCAAATCGTACATCGGAATCACGCAATAGTAATTTTATGCCACCATTACCTCCAACATCACCACCACCTTCATTAGGTGGTACACCAAATCCAAATCCAATAATACATTTTAAAGATCAATCATCCAGAGCAACTTCTATCACTTCAAGTAATTCACGGCAAAAAAATGACCTACAATCACCATCATTACCTTTAACTGTAACAGCTAATCAGCATTTACCACCACCTGAAGTACCTTCAGGCTCACATCCAAAACAATCCGTTACATCTTTATCAAACCCTCAATCTTATTATAATATTCCGCCGTCTCCATTAATTTCACCGTTACCTACACAAGTTGCAAATACACAAGAATCCGTACAAGGCACAAATTCAAAAGTTACGAATTCGCAAATTGACTCTCAGATTCCTTCACAGGTCGTGAATATATCAGCTCAAATGAACCCACAAAAGGTAAACCAAATCGAATCTCAAATGAATTCTTCTCAAATTAGTTCTTCAGATTATTATACACAACCAATACCATCTCATGCATCACGAGGATATTCCCAATCAACGCCATCACAATATTCACATGATTATAGTAAAGAAGAATCTGGCGCTCATGAAATTGTATTCCCGCAAGATGATGTCGTTGCGCAGCATGAAATCGTTACTTCTTCACAACAACGACAACATAATGGACGTGTAGCATCAGTAGCAGGTAGCGATGGAGGTTTTTATAATAGTAGAGTTTCCTTGAATGGTAATTTAGATAAAACTTTACCACCACCTCCACCTCCGTCATCTATCGTTTCTACTCGATATCAATCACAACATGGTAGTGAAGCCAGTAATTATGGTGTTGAAGCTAGACCACACGGTCGTGAATCGAGAAATCATGGTAGTGAAACAAATTATGGAAGTGAAAAAAATTATGGAAGTGAAATAAATTATGGAAATTATGGAGTCGAATTTCGGCAACATGGCAGAGAAATGAATGATTACGAAGCTAATCGATTACCTGGAGGAGGACAAACAAATGAAAATCCAACCTTAATTGTTGATCCATATCAATTATCATCATCACCACCACCACCACCACCACCACCACAAATAGTATTCGTTGATCCCAATCGTGACGTAAATATACCACCACATTTACAATGGACAGACATTTCAAATATACAACCATATCAGCGTAGTTTTTCTCAAATAAAATCTTTAGAACAAATTTGGGGTATGCCTACATTCGTGGAAGGTAAACCTACTTGGAAATTTTGGTATATTATATATTGCATGATATTGGTTTTATCTTTCATATCTCTTGTTATTCATAGATCAGGATATATTTGATTAAGACAGATATTTGTATGTCGATCAATATATGGGATCGATCCCAAATTATTATTTATTTTATATATAAAAATTAATAATATTTATTTGTATTTGTATTTTTAATAAAATCATATCTATCTTGTATTACGGTTTTGTATATTACCTTATGAATTTCATTTCGGTCGTTCAAATTAAATATATTAAACGTGTTTAATCATAATTTGCTTAAATAACAACATTCAATAATCAATTTCTTATTATAATGATAAATATATTTTAATTTTTTTTTTCCCTCAGATCATTGATTGAAATAATTTCACTTAAAGTAATTCATAAAATACTGAATAAAGGACAAGGAAAAAAAACAAAAAATATTTAAAGATTGTGATGTTTCCCAAGCTAAAAGTTGAATATATATAATATATATAATAATAATAATAAGATAAATAATAAAATAAGAATTAAGATTGAAAAAAAGATTATTTATATAATATGATGCAAAAAAAAAAAGAAATGGATAAAAATTTTTTTTTTTTTTTTTTTTTGATAACCTTTTCTATCTCTAATTTAAAAAAGACGCACACAAATCCCATAGCCCTTTTATTTCCAAACCCAAACATAAACATGAAAGTTCAATTCATGAGTAATTTTTTAAAGAAATTTGCTCTTTTTTTTTTTTTTTTTTTTTTCTCTCGTCACTCCACAAAAGGACCTGAAATTCAGACCCAATAAAAATATATATATATATGTCTCATAATAAACGAGTGATTATCGTACAATAAATTCATATACAAAGATTCAACAAAAAAAAAAAAGAAATAAAAGAAATAAAAAGACAGAATCACTCTAAATCTTAAAAGCATCAAAAAAAAAAAAAAAAAAGAGAAAAAAAAAAAAATAGTAAAAATCACTATTATTCAGTATACTCATTCTTTCTCACACATCGTTTTTAACCTTTTATCATCATCCATCATCTCGTTTAGTTTACTTTGATCTAGCATTAATCTTCGTGTTATTTTCATTGGTCCCATTCTCTGATACTGGTGATTTAGTGCCTTTATCATTTGTATTTATATTGTTAGATTGAACGTTCTTATCGCTACCGTTTACCTGCGGACTAGGCTGATCTTGTTGAATACTCTCGGAATTTTGTTGAGTATCATCCTTTTGTTTATTCGGTCCATTGCTGTGATGTTGTTCATTATCTGAATGATAACCTCCGCTGTGTATGGCAGCTGCATGTGCAGGATGGCCATTATTATGGTACATTCCGAAACTTTCTACATATTCTTGAGAATGAAAAACTGGAGATGTGAGCGGGTGATTCGGTAGATTCGGTACTTGAGATGATTGCGGTATTTCAATTTTCATATATGGTTTTGCGCCAGTAACAGCGGGAGAATCTGAAGCCGACGTCGTAATCGGTCGTGATTCAAAATTTGCAAACGTCGCAGGTGCTGCTGACGTAGAAACTAAAATTTTTTTTTTGTTTTTACCTATTGAATTTCACGTGATTAAATCTCATCATCTTACTTACCTTCTATGTTATTTGGGTCCATATTTGGATTGTTGTACATTTCCGGATTGGGATTTTCCCCCTCATGAATATTTTGAACCATATAATGTGGATGCTGTGAGTGATAATGGGGAGCTGCAGGATTTGGCGCGCCAGTCGACATCATTATAGATAAAGCGTCATTTCGCATTGGACCGTTAGGAGGATAACCTTGAAATGGAGGGTACTGACCATAAGGTCCCGGGAAAGGTGGAGCATTAAAATCGGGTGGCATCATACCAGGGGCGCTATTAGGTCCGGGGAAAGCAATATGTTGACGACCATCATTTGGGAATGTTGGATGCATTCCAATTGGATTAAAACGATCGTGACTGTCAGCATAATGTCCAGGACTGCGTCCACGAACTACTAAAGGTGCCGAAGTTGCTGTTGCTACTCTATAAGGGTCACCATTTTCAACATGAGCATATAAATCTACCATGACTACATAGTATTGTTGAGCAGCACGGCGTTTACCATTATTAGCAGTAGCAGTCTTAAATTGAATACGTTCAAATGTAACAATATTTGTATTTGTTCCCACTGAACTTAGGTTAAGGTTACCACCCGCTCGAATAGGTTTTGGCACAGGGGTCATTTGTGGTCCTTTGTCACGTTTTGGCGTATGCTGAACCAACTCAATTTTTTTATCGCTGTTGGAGACACGCGCAGAAATACCCAATGAGAAATGAGAGACCGTATGAAATTGACCTTCAACTTCTATCAAGCATGGTACTTCAGATTCATTAACAGCGTGAGATGTTCCTGTCACAGAAAATGCACTACTAATCTGGAAGTAATTTCTTCGATAGCATGTCCAATCATTTTCAGCTAAGAAAAATCCACGATCAACTTTTGAATTGATTCGAAGCTTATAACTTATCGATCACGAATAAAATAATGATAATAGTAATATAATAATAAGTTACAAGTAAAGAAATGACATTTATATTAATTATTTTATAAAATAATACCTGTTAGATCTATCCAAACTATATATGTTGTGATGCTGTTGTGTTTGAGAAAAGAATGGACCAGCATCTGGAGGAAATCCTAAAGAATTGTCCCTACGTTTCCTAATTACCTGTTGTTGGAATTGTGTGGCGTGATATGAGTTTGTTGTAATGGTAGGTCTATTATCATTTTTACACTCGGGTGGTGCTGAAACTGGCGTTATGGGAGTTCCAATTGGAGAACCATTTTGACGAGGCGTAGAAGGGGTCACAGGAGCAGACATTGAAACAGAACTAAATACAGATGAATAATTTTAATAAAATTATGATGATAGCATATATTCAAATGATCATTAGAAAAACAAAATAATCTGGTGTAATGTCTGATTAAATAAATGATTAAGGTTCACATCACAATAAAACTATTTAAACTCTATAATTAGCAATTACCTTTGATATTGATTTTGCGATCTATTTGGTGTCGTATCAATTTCTTGTTTCGGTGGTATGAACATGACACTGTTATTACATTGGACAGCCCTATGATATATACATCAGATTAATTTGCATAATTATAATCATATTGTTTGTGTAAACGTCATATCATGAAATTAAGTTAAAAACATGTTAGGAATGTTCAACCAAGAGGAGGGACGCAGCTTCGAACAAGTGTGTGTAAGGTAACACGCGGCGACAAGAAATACCAACTTGCATAACCAAAACCAGTTTGTACGAAGCACAAATAAAACGCGGGTTCTATGCTATTCTCGTTGTGGTAACTGATAACTGAAAAAACGTGCGCGGCACAAAACCACTAGTGTTTTTATTTTTTTTTTTTTTTTTTTTTTTTTTTTTTTACAAAGAAGTTTATATATATTATCATAACTTACATTTGTTGATGCATTTGACCTTGAGGTGCTTGACCATCGTACGTAAAGGATTGCATAAAGTTTTCAGCAGGCATACTGTTTACTTGCGAAGATAATTCGGGTTGTGGATGGTGAGAAGAAGGGGGAACTTGAGATGATTGATGTATAGACCACTTATCCCCAGAAATACTCATATTATTGCTAAAAAGCTAATACCGTGAGAATCCTTTGAAAAGACGTTAAAAAAGTTTACAAACTTGACGCTTAAGAGATGAGCCGAAAGATTCACCAAATATTCTAGGTATATTAGCCGACAGTTATATATTGATAGCAGAAGTCGTCCCAAGTTGTTGGTTTTTTTTTTTTTTAAAAAAAAAAAAAAATTACCTGGGTGAAAAAATAAACAAAAAAAAAATTCTTTCAACTTTCTAAGGTCAGTTGAAATTATCAAAACAAAATGAATGCGTCAAGTGGAATTATCTGAAAATTTCCTATAGAACACATCCGGTGTATTGAATAGATAACGTGTTTAATTGGTTAGAGATCATGTGGCAAAGCTTAGTTTTCTGATCAGCTTACTTCTATTAATTAGGTCAAATTCAACTTTATTCTCTCAATTACTAAAATAAGCAATTCTAGAATGAATATGAAAAATAAAAGACGCGTGAATTAATTTTTTTTCCAAATAAAAGTTTCGTTTATTTATTATGCAATAATTAAGTACTTTATACATAAAATTCACAATTATTAAATTATCATTAAATTATTATCATTAAGATTACTAATATAATTAACAATTAATTATTATTATTATAACTTAAAATTTTATACCATATTCCGACGATATCTTCTCTACGACGCCATCAAACCCCACCTGAGCGCATTTTCTACCCGCTAATTCACAAGCGAATCTCAGACAACCTTCAGGTGTCATGCCTTGGATTAATCCATAAATGATCCCCGCTGTAAATGTATCACCAGCTCCAACCGAATCGACTATGCTTGCTATTGGTAAAGCTGGAGCCGTGAATAATTTACGCGTTGGATTATGAAAACACATAGCTCCTGAACTTCCCCATGTACAAAAAAGGTGTGCTCTTAATAAAAAAAATATTTATTTATTTATTTATTAATAGATAAATTACAAGTCAAAATATAACTTTACTGGATTTTACTTACGTGTTTTTACAAAATGGACCCATAACTTGTAAAAAATCCCCAGCATTTTCATACCCTTTACCCTCAGCAAATACTTTAGAAAAGAATATGACATCAGATCTACTCATTAAAGTTTCCAATCCTCTACGGTACGGTTTTTCCAATTCGACACTAATTATGGTTCTGGGACGCCAAACTTTGGTATCAATATGGTCTATCATTTTTGCTTCTTCTACTGTGTTACGCCCTTCAAAATGTATCCAGTTAAATGGAAAATCACTATTCGATGTACTAATCACTACTTCGTTACATACTGCATCAAATTTTCGCTTAAATTCTTCAAAGGTTAATTCATCTATGCTGTAAATCATTTTTAAAATTAATCACAAAAAAAAAAAAAATTATATATATTTTTTTTTCTTACCTATTGTAATTTATGATTGTTCGTGAGCTTGTACTGTTAGCATGTATAATATAAGCCACTGGTGCATGCTTAGCGTTAGACCTAAATATACATGTTGATGTCTTTATATTATGTGCCTCGAAATCTTGAAGCAAAAACCTATTTATAAATATCATTTTCAATTAATCCTTCCCGAACTATGTATGATACGTGCTTAAAAATATTTTTTTAAAAAAAAATATATATACTGTATATATATATATATAAAGAAAACGCGAAACGCATACGTTGAAGCTTCTTTAGATGCCATAGAAGCCATAAAATATCCTTGAGTTAAGGGGAATTGAGATAAAACAGTTAAAGTATTCCCTGCATTTCCGCCTCTTCTCTTTTCTACTCTCTGTGCTCTCTGTTTACCATCTTCGGGTGGAAACTTATCAACATAAAGAATCGTGTCTTCATATGCTGACCCTATAGCAAGAACTCTTAAAGGTACCTGTTGGTGATTTCCTGGAATTGAATTTTCTTGTGACATGAAAAAAAAAAGAAAATTTCCTTATACGATTTATTATAGATAATGATGTATGAGTTTAATTTTAATTTATTGAATTTTACGAGAAAATTCGTTTGAGACTCTGTATATATAAACAAACTTCGGTACAACATAGTAACTTAAAAAGGTTATCTAATTCAATTCATTGTGCACCCTTAAAATTTGATTTATCATTTTGAATTTTTTTAAAATATCCAACTATCTATACAGTTATTTATTAATCTTTTGTTCCTTATGTCCTGATAGCAAGTCTAACATATGGAACCTATGAAAGAAGTAACAAACTTAATTAATTAATCAAGAACTTTTTATTTAAAATAAAAAAAATTTTTTTTATAATTTACCTCTACATCTTCACCACTACGATCGTTTACAACCATTTCTAGAGTTAATGCTTTAACGTGTGGTGGAACTGGTTTCTTAGAAATCGATTCCACTAATTCTGATAACCTATTATAACGAATATCAAGTAATAAATTAATGATTTAAATATTTTAAATTTGATAATAATCACCTTTCCAAATATTATACCTCATATTTTTCCGTTCTTCCCTTTTCTTTCCTTGCAAAAAGAACGCATATAACATACTAGCACCACATGACAACATTGTCACTTCTAATTCATGATTTTTTGCAAAGTAATCCAAGAATTCTTGAAGTGTAAGATCACCCTCAATGTCAAACCTATCCCATAAACTCCATTCTGTTTCGTGATACTATAAATTAGGACAAACGATTAAGTTTAAATTATGAAGGATTTAGCAAGTAATAAATATATATATTTAGGGTCATTACCTGGAATTTCGGCATTGCAATTGGCTCTGAAAATCCAAAAAATGGTAACGCTAAATTTACAAAACCATTCTTATAATCCTCCAACTTATTCTTGCCAGCAATAATCTTGTATAATTCTAGGCATACTAATCCAGTTACCAAAGATGTCGTTGTTGCAATAGCTGGTATAATTTTGCCAGCAATAAATTTAGTCTTGTGACGATCTGCTGGCTGAATACCGTAATTAATGGCTCGTAAATTAGAAGTTGCGGCGATGAAATCAATATGGAAGTTCGTATCATCATCTTTTTCGAATTCTACAGGATTCAATCGAAATCCTGGAATTGATGCTGGATCGGGTAAACTCATAACAATTTCTTGTAACTCAGATTCATCAGTTGTTTGCTGAATGGTTTCATTTTCTTGTACCTGAATCTTTACGCCAGATTTTGGATGGAATTCGGGTACGATAACTGTATTTAATACATTTTTTATAAATTCTCGACTTGTTTCTCCTAAATCGGCGTTTTTACCAATTAGAAATTATAAGGTAAATAATAATGATAATAAAAAATACTCTAATTTTACATAGATGCTACCTTTGAGACCATAATTGAATGCATGTAAATTTGCAGCTGTTGCGATAAACTCCATATGTGCATCCTAAGAAAGAGTAAAATTGTTGAATTAATAATTGATATGGTGGAAAAGCACTTAAATAAATAAATACATACATTATTAACGTCAAATATAATTGGTTCGGGCGCCCTTTTTGGACCAGACCAAAACTTTGCACCAGTAGATGTAACCTATGTAAAATGAATTTAGAAAATTAAATACGATAATAAATATATTATAATTGCGTCAACATTTAACGTAAAGGCGCAGAAACTTACGGAATCTTTTGGGAAATTAAAAAGCAACTGTTGGATATTATTGTTGAAATATTCTTCAAATTTCAAACGAGCCCAAGCAACACAAGCTTCGAATGTTAATGGACGTGCAGTAACTAAGAAATTTTGGATTCCCTCCAAAATTCCCTTTGAACCACTACCGTGCTTTAATGTTCCTTCAACATACCCAGCCTGGCTTAAGTACATATTTACATTTTCTGCAGGAACCTTAAATAACTCTTCAAACTTGTCACGTGCCCACTGAATTGTATGCTCAATTGCATTTGGAAAGTTTGTTAATGTACAAATTGGAATAGATTTCTCAGGTGGGTCTTGAGATGACGAATAGGATTCGGTGAGGTACGGAATAATAACCTGCGTGTTACCCTTTGTACCTAATGTTCCGGATTCTAATAAAGGTTTCCTAAAGTATACGCATCGTCTATCCATATATTTACCTAAAAATTCAAAAAAAAAAAACATAAATAAACAACTCAAATTATTTCTTTGAGGTTAATATAATATAAATTGCTTACGAGCATCAACATTATCCAATGCGTTAGTTACTCCATCCAATTTTTCAAAGAAAGTATCATTGTAAATATTTTCGGTTTCAACACCAACACGATCTTGATGAGCAATGACTTTTCCTATAGTTTCAGGATTCATTTTGCCTATGGCAGCGGCTGCAGTTTCTGATTTTAATTTCTGAAAAAAAAGAAAAATTAATTAACCTTCAAAATCATATATGAGATTACTATAATACATACTCCGACATCGGCAGGACGGAACAAGAATTGTCGATTTAAGTTGCTTTTTTCAATTGTGTCCATATCAGTAACATGTACGGCACCTTTACCGGTACCCAATCCCATCATAGCCCAATTCTTCAGCATTTCGCATCCAATAGCGCCAGCTCCAACCTAAACAAGCAATATAGAAATAAGGTTTATATATTTATTATTTGTAGAAATAATTTAAACAAACGTACCAAAAATTCTCTAAAGTTTGCAATCTTATGTTGGAAATCTCTACCAAATACTGCTATCTGGCCATCATAACGAGAATTACACTTATAATAAAAAAATAAGATTAATTTAAGATCAACATTAAGCGAAAATTATAGAATATAACTTAATTACATACTGGAGCACAATTTTCCTCAGTTAAGTTATCATCTGGTAAAGATTCCAAAGAATCGAAATAAAAGTATTGTTGTATTGGATTGAATTTTCCACTGCAGGCTTTTAATACTTCTTGAGCAACTAATCCACCAAGTACAGCAACCATTGGAGATAAACTTCCAGCCGCACCATATGCAAGTTGTTTGAGTAGCTTATCATCAAGTTCATTCTATAAGCAATTTCATTAAATTAGTATTAGTTAAATATCACATTTTTTTTAAATAATTAACATAAAGTACCTTATCCTCGCATTGATCATTAATATTTTTAGCAAGTCGAACTATTTCTTCGGCATCAGCTTCATTGTGTGGACGAGGTAGTGAACCACGGGTTTCAAAAAATTCATGAAGAGCTTGGAAACCAATATGCAAATGGCCAGGTCTATCCCATTTAGCATAATCAGAAATGACGAATTCTGGTTTCCTCAAAGATTCTCGAAGGGATTTCTAAATAATATAAAGCAAAAATGTTAGATTCGATTTTTTTTAGAAATTTAAACAATATAGTTATAACTTACAAATTGAATTGTTTTCGGTTGCTTGACTTGAGTGAATATACCACCACTAGTATAATCACCATAGCTCGATGTATCACCGATGCTAAAAGTATATGGACCTACAAAAATTAATATATTATTGATATGTTTTATTACAAATAATAATTGATTCGAACAATATTGTCACAACTTACCAAGCACTTTTATTTTCTTTGGTTCGCAATTATTTAGTTCTTCCATACCCTTAATTTCAGTAAAAGTCACGTATTCTCCATCTTCCAATCCATGCCTTGATTCATCCAAGCATGTAACAACACTATCCTCTTCTTTAGTGATCGCAGCTACCATTCCTGATACCGGATTCTCTCCAGTGGTATCAATGACTTGAAACTCATTACCAAAATCATTAAAGGCAATGCTAATATTCACAAAAATGTAAATTAAATCAAGTAAAACGCAATATATTATAACAATACTAAAATTATTTTACCCGAATAGGCCGCGCACATCGGTTGATATGAAGTGTATTCCATTAACGTGGGTAAAATCATTAATCTCCAATTGTTTTTTTAGAGGTGTCTCTGTTAACACGACAACCTTAGATTTTATAACAAGTGCACGCGTTAATTTTAAATTAAGTTACTTGTACAAAACGATAAATTCATACCTGGAAATTTCTTATTTTATCACTGGTTAATTCGCCTTCCAGTACGGATATCGGTACATATTGATTAAGTTCGGACAATCTTGGCGCAGATATTGAGGCTCTTGGTTTTCCGACATCATCATCTCTGAGGAAAAACTGTAAATAATTGCATTTGCCCACAAATATTGGAAAATTGAAAATAAGTTCATCATCATTTAACGAATACAGAAAGAATTTAATTTATAAGAAATTTTAATTTCTAACCTGCGTAGATAAGTCGGAAATTCTTACTGACTCAGGATCGTAAAGAGTTACACTCTTTACACCGGCAAGAACAACGTTTTTCGCTTTATTTAATAAAGTAAATTATGAAATTTTCAATAACCTTATTTTTTAAGTTTCCAAATTTATATAATATAATGTAAAAATACCAATTTCGACACCAAGACCCTTCAGTCCAACGATAAGAACATTGGAACTGCCCATTTTTTTCATAGCTTCATGACCAAGAACATAACTACACACAAAAAAGTAAAATCACACAATTTAGCATTCCTCTGAACACTCTGAATTACGCTAGAAAAACAATTTTGAAAAATAAATACAGTTGTCGAGAATAAAGTCCCTCGTCAATAGTCTGTTCAGTTTCCATTTTATTAATTTTTAAAAAAAACCCACTAAATCAAAAGTTATGATCTGAGAATCGTAAAGAGAATACCCTTTTAAGTTTTAACTCAAGTTTGTGAAGTTTGTGTAGTTTGTGTACATACGACAATCAAACGTGTTTAACAATGTATCACCAACTTTTTATCGTGATTCTTTTTTTGATTGGATTATTTCTCCCAAACTTAGTTCATTCATCAATACTTATTCATTATTATAAAGTTTTTTATTACTCTTATAACATTTCTGAAGATATTTCTATATTATTTTAAAATAAATATAAATATAACAATTATCTCCTAGATTGTAAGTAGTAGAAAAGTGGGTTTTTTTGCAAGAAGGTTTGCTAGGAAAATGCAATTTTTGACTAAAATTTAATTCTTATTGCATTTTTCATAATTCATGGATCATTAATAATTTTTCAGTCACATTCAGTCATAATATTTTATAGTAATTTTATTATAAAATATTTTCAGTCACATTCAGTTACAATTTATTAGTGATCCATGATTATGAAATCTAATATTAAATGCAATAAAATTAAAAAATTCTCAAAAACCTATTTTTCTAGCAATTCTTTTATATAATAAGTTTATTATTAACTAATCAATCATTTTTATAAACCTAAGAAAGCTTATTTGTTTTCTTGGTTATTAATTACTTTGAAATTGTTTGCTTTTTATTAATAAAAAAAATTTACTTTTAGTATAAATACTTTTGAAACCCAATTGATTATCATTTTAGGTATCAAAAAAATTGTTTAGATTGTATTTGATTCATTGTTTTGAGTATTAAAAATTTTTTACTATAACATACAAGTTTTGGGTTATATCTAACCTTTAATTTGCATCTTATTATAATAGTATTGCTAAGAAAAAAAAAGATATAAGCAGTTAGGGTTCCTCAAAATCGAATTGAATCAAATATTTAAGCAATTTGAATTTGATTTGATTTTTTCAAATTGAATCGAATTGAACTCAAATATTTGATCGAATCAATTTGAATTGATTTAAATTTGATTGAATCTAATCAAAATGAATCAAATATTTGTCAAATCAAATCAAATCAAATCAAATATTTGATCGAATCAAATCAAATCGAATCGAATATAAATAAAGTTATTCTAAAGTTTTAATTAAGAAAAGTATTAATAATTGCACTAAAAAATTTCAAAAATAGTTTTTACAAAGTAAGTTTAGTAACAGGTAAATTTTTACTATTAAACTTAGTAAAATAACTTTGTGGTTTTGGTTTTATTAAGAAACTTAGTAATAACCGCCATTGCGGCTTTGGTTTACTAAGAAAACTTAGTAATAACCGCCATCTCGGCTTCATAACAATTTTATTAGTAAAAAATGTTTCTGAAACTGCGAATGCGTTTTTTACTAGGTTTCTTAGTAAAATAGCGTCTTCGAAGCTGCAGAGGTATTTTTTACTATGTTTTCTTAGTAAAATAGTGTCTCTGAAGCCGTGAAGGCGTTTTTTATTATATTTTCTTAGTAAAATAGCATCTCTGAAATCGTGAAGGCATTTTTTACTATGTTTTTCTTAGTAAAAAGGCATTTTTAAAGTTGCGGAAGCACTTTTTACTATGGTTTTCTTAGTAAAAAGGCATTTCCGAAACCGCAAAGACTCTTTTACTAGTAAGAACCATTCCTGAAGCTTTGGAGATGACTTTACTATTGATTCAAATCTAATCAAATATTTGAATACTTTATTTGAATTTAATCGAATTGAATCAAACATTAATTTGGATTTGACCAAATAAATCATTCTTTGATTTGAATTTGATCGAATCAAATTAAATATAAATTTGTATTTGTATTTGATTTGATTTTCAAATCAAATATTCAAATATCAAATCGAATTGCGGAATCCTATAAGCAGTAATTTAAGCAGAAGTCTTTTAAAGTGACTGTGATTATAAATACTTATATTTTTTATTTTAGCATACTAATATATAAAGCAAATATAAAGTTTATAATATTGAAGAATATAGAAAAGCAACTGTTAAGCAAATTATAAAATATATAGGCAGTATTGTTTAAGAGATATTATTGAAACATATCATAGGACATTATTGGAATATGATTTAAAATATTGGAACTTAATAGGAAATAATTTAAAACATAGTATAAGATAATTTCAAATATTTGAAATATAAAAATATACATTATTATATATAGAATTTGCAAAATTACAAAACATAGTAAAGTTATTGGTAAGAAATTATAAAAATTCATAAGGTTTAAATATTATGAAGTATAGTAAAATAACTGATAAGCAAATTATAAAAATATCTTAGTTTTTGTAATATTATAAAATAATTGATAAGCAAAATATGTGAAAATAATTGAAAAAATAATCTATAGATAACTCTTTCTATAACAAATTTTGATATAACAAATTTCACAATATAACAGATCTATAGTGTGATACAGATTTTTAAATATAGAAAAAACCTTATTATACTGAATTTATTAAATTAGAATTAAAATTCATATTACATTTAACGAATTTAAATATGTGAACATGTATTATATAAATGCTTCTTTGTATAATGCATTTATTTATAATAAAGTTTTTTTTAATACAATGAAGATTTACAAAAATTAATTTTAATAGAAAAAATCATAAAATTTTGTAATTTTTTGTACCTAAATAAAGTTAATGAAAGTGTTTTGTATAATGTTTTGCAATTTTTTTTATAAATATTTCTTTATTTCGCATGTTTCACAATTTTTTTTATATTTTAAAAAAAAATAAAAGTCTCTTACTGCTGAATAAAAAAAAGATATTTGTTTAAAAAAACTTTATTCCTGTTATTAAAACAAAAAGATCTAGCAAATGAATATGAAGTTAGTGAGAGTATGATTAGTAACATTTTAAAAGAAAAAGACTGTTGGCTTGCTATAGATCCTGAATCATATAAAGCTGAATTAAAACGTGAAAAAAAGACAACCTTTCCTTTTTATTAAAGAAGCTTTAACTTTTTGGATAGAATATGCATTCTAAGCCGACCTCATTATAACTAATAATATTCTTTTAACAAAAGCTTTAGGGTTTGCTTTTTTGTTTGGTAAGAATAAATTTAAAGGTTCTCATAGATAGTAGACAATTTCAAGAAATAGGCAATATAATATACATAGGGTCATTAGAAATATTTTCTCTTTGTATCGCACGTGTTTCACTAAGTTACTTTGCTACAGCAAATAAATTTCTTATCATCAAACTTTATAACCTTAGGGAAATTTACGTCCTACAGGTATCTAGAATGTCTTGGAATTACTTCACTTGATTTTACAAACTTAAAGGTTTAGAGACTTAGGAAAGACGTAGAGAATTTAGTTATTCTAAGTGACGAACTCAAAAGCAAGTTGGTTTAGTAGTTCACAATCAAATCCTAGATGATAGACATGTAGAAGGAAAAAGTAATTATATTTTTAAGTTGATTCCTTTATTTATTACTTAAAACTCACAAGTATTTAAAGTATTTAAGAACTTACAAGAAAGTTAATTTACAACTTGAGCAAAAAGCTATTCTATTTATACAAAATTAATTTGTTATAGCTAACTAGTTGCTATGCTATAAACTAACTAAATTTGTAATTACAAGTGCTAATATGATAATAATAATAATAACAGATATATTAAATATAACAATAATAATAAAAATAATGGAAATAAGCGTTATAACAATTATCTAGCTTATAAGGCTTATCAGGTAAATCCTAAGAATCCTAAGAATCCTATGGATCCAGAATTATGTAGATTTTCTAATTTGTGATTGACATAAAATTAATTCTAGTAACTTCTGTAGATCATTTAATAATTCTTTGAAAATTAACTTTTCAATAGTGAATTTTAATCAGTAACAATGATAAAGCTGTAAGTACAGTCCCAGCCAAAAGTAATGGCGGTTGGGATAATACTTAATTTTTTAATTGTAATATCTCTATTATTCTGATTT